TCTTACAGCACATTGCCTGTGTAGTGTTCTTTTCACGTGTGTACTCGCGTTAACATGAAGACTACATGCCGGGTACAGATAAAACTTGGACGCCATAATCATGCAGCATAATTTTAATATTATTTGGAAAGTTGGTAGATTTCTAGATCTATATTACTGTATATATAACTGTATATTGATTTAACATTATATGGTCATTTGTTTATCTAGGCCGTCAACTTTACAAAAACGGTCAGTTTAATTGCGGGTACAAATTGCGATATATCATATAGACATCTACATTCTATACAGATCAGATAAACTCATATCACTGAATTTGATGATTTGAATATAAAGCAATGGCAGTAATTTCTAAGCACATTTTAAATAACAAGGATGGGTAGATTTAACCCCCCAACTCACCCACATTACAAGCATTCAACCACCCCGTTTGACATTGCAACGCTTGGGTGCTCGCGTCTCGAAGGTGATACGAAGTTGGATCGCATCAGGGGACAAAAGCCCTCAAGCTAGGCCCCTGAACCTCGCTTTTGATAGTGAAGATGTCATACGAAGGGACACTCACAAAGAGATTCGAATCCCGACGTACCCCCTTAAAACACACCCTTACCATAGAGGTGAAGAAATATTTGTTTACTTTAGAGAACCAAACGGGCACCTGCTCAACTCCAAAACTTTTGAAACTTTGTTGTACTGAGACTACTTCGCGATTTGTGTCGTCTGCCTCAGTGAGTCAAGATGCTCTCTCACAAGTATAACTTCTTTTCTTCACTGGATAGGTTGTACTATGCTATGAGATATCACAATTATTTTGAAAGAAATTCACCGAGAGCTGTGTAGCACCCACTGACGAAAATCAATGCTCCCCGGTCTGCAACCCTGTCAAATTCCTATGCATGCGCTCGTGAGCAACTTTGTAACACAGTAACTTCCAGTCAAATCCACAAACAACATCAGCCTAATGTCTAACTTCGTTGTAAGTCATAACTTTGACAACAAGCAAGCCTTCACAGCCACCGTGGCCGAACTCAAAGACCGCATGGGCAAGCCTAGCCTACCAGTGTATCGGCATTCGAGGGATATTATACGTGATTTTTGTCCCTTTAAATCGGTGACATCATGTGGATTTCTCAACGTCACCGCTGCAAACTTGCCCACAAAACTTACCTAACTGTTCGCTACTCCATGAATATCTTTCACACAAGTAAAGTCCGTTAGAATCCGATTCTAATACACAAAGTCCGAGTTTCACCCTACCTAAGTTCCGTTATATCCCGTGTATCTCCACGACTATTTCGCTTGAGCTTCTGAGGATCGTCACGTGATCACCCATTCAAAGCAACAGACCACGTGACCCCCCGAGTGAAAGACGCCATGGAATAAAGGGGGGATGCAGGGGTCGCTCCCTTAACACAGGAAATACTCATATCTAGATTAAAACGTGAAAAGTGACGCGACGCTGGGATAGATTGTCTATACATATTCATTGTCATGTAGTTGTACCTGGCGCCTAATTAATTCACTTAATTTAAATTCTCATTTTCGCTTTCAGGTTAATTATATATTGTAGGAGACAAACTTAAGACTTTTAAGCCTGTTTTAAGAATTATTTAAAAAAAAGGTGTTTGATTAATTTAATTAAGTAAAAATAAAGAAGACTGAGATGAAAAATATATCAAACGGTTATTCATTTAATGAATAATAACGGATGTGCCTAAATTCTAATTACTGAATTTACTTACTATTGAAAGGGAAAGCTAACAGTATATAATTAGTTTATTACGCGTATACGAATAACAATAATTATCTTATCTTATCAACGATATTTAGAAACTTGGTTTATTTCATTTTCCAAAACGCGTAGTTTTGATGCGTGGTGACGATTTGTACTAAAATATTATTTAAAAAAGTGTATACTTGTAAATTCAAAACGGAATTTTAAAATGAATTCCAACTGAAAGTACATGCAATAAAACCTACAAAAGTCTATTTACTATTTCGAAACATACCCCGTAGTTACAAATCCTACCATCGGTCGTGGTCTGTCAAAGTTCTCTGAAGTATTCTGTCATGAGTCTTTAACCCGCACGCCCTTGGCACACCAAGTGTAATCACTTACCTGAGCGTAATAATTACAGGTAGGTATACAACTGTGTCAGGTAGAAGGTATTGTTTGTTGTGCTCGGTTAGACTTCTTCAAAGCGACTGACTAACTGCAGCTCTCCAGGCTAGTTAACGCTCGGACATTTCCTGAGGGTACTCAGTGGGCTTGCAATCTCCAATGAGAACCACGTAAGCGGTGCCAGTACCGACGATGCATTCTTTGATTGTATAATCTCTTTAGTTCTTGTCTAAAACACATCTCCCGTCTCATCTCACCGTTTATTTGTAGACGTGTTTATATATAGGATTAGTTAATCCTGTCATTTTGTCTGACAATGCGCGGGGATTAATAGTGCATTGTCTATCATTAAGTGGCTTAGTATCACGGACTAATTGCTTTGTCAGACTGACGGCGTCCCTTAATTACACTGATGAAAAGTAAACAAATTATTTTCGTGTCTCCCACATTGTAATCACGTTACAGGAAACAGACGCTGAGTTCTATCTGTATACACATGGACATAAGTCGTGTAAGAAATGAACGGTCAGATTTAAGTGATTATTCAGTTCATATAATTCCCCCCCATGCGTATCGTACAGTCGTATATATTGTACATCCAATACATACATACAATATACAATAAAATATATGTACAATATAAATATATATATATATATTCTGTACGAAGGATCTACACTGAAACGTCGCCTTTACAGTATTAAAGAAGTTGTTATCCATAAATTGTGACTACTTTGTATTTGTTGTAGGGCACTGCATCCAAATTTCGATATAATATTAGAATATGTCTTTTGCAGTGTAGCCTTACAAAAATTCATACATGGTTAAACAAAATGCTAAGAAACAAGAAGAAATTGTAATGTTTCAGAAAAACATCCGCGAATTTCCGACAAGTGGTATAATATACACAACTGTAATTTATTATAATCCACCTCGTACATAACTTGAACTAAACTGTCGGTCAAAAGAAAGTATACACCCTTTTCTGAAAAGGGGCGGTCGGGTAGCCTAGTGGTTAAAGCGTTCGAGGGGGGGGGGGGGGGGTGTGGAAAATTTTCAGCCCACAAGATGAGAAGAGTGAATAGAGATAAGAAGAGTGAATAGAGATGAGAAGAGTGAATAGAGATGAGAAGAGTGAATAGAGATGAGAAGTGTGAAGTTTTTCAAGTGTATACTTACTTTTGCCCGGCAGTGTATTTGTATTTCTGATGTTAGAACTATGAGGGGATATTCATTGACTTCATTGAACCATTAATACATAAAAGTTACATAAAAAATTAAAAGACAGCAAAGCTTTCTTATCATTTCTTTCCTGTAAATCTTTTATGACTTAATTCTTTATCAAAACACAATACTTAAGGATGACCAAGTCGTTCGATCTAATACCTGAACATATTGGAATTCGCTTTATTTAGCAATTTCATGGTGGGGGACACCATATATGGGCTTCATACATTGTACCAACGCTGGGAATCGAACACGGGTTTGGGGCGTGATGAGCGTACGCTTTAACCACGAGGCTACCCACTGCTCGCGTATGCATTGGAGATTATAGCTGCATGCCACACCTATCTAATAGGCTATATGGAATATTCGAGTGTATCTTGTCATTGTAATGTATTTGCTTTGATTAACTTGTTTATCTGCATGAATTTGGAATAGACATGTGGTGCAGCTTATTCACACTGATTTGACATTACCCTTTGCATTGTGTTGATAAACAGTTACATTGCATAAACATTAACGAGCGCGGAACAAGAAACAAGCACGTGCAGTATCACGTGGCCTAAAAATAATTCAAACTCTTATTTCAAAGCGCAATGCAATCAAAATTTTAAAAGTTCACGACCCGCGCGTGTCTTTGAGCGTGCTTCCAACATACGTACATCGTTGCATATGACCGAAAACCAAAATATCTCTCACTTATTTCACAGGCGAATTTAAAAAAAATGCAACTGGTACTATTTTGTTTTATCTGATAACAATGTTGTGCGTTAATCAGGCATTTTGTTATTGAGCTTACTTTTTATAAGCTTATTTTGACATACTACGATTTAATGGAGAAAATACAATTCACCCTCATTCTTGTCGCTGAATAACACACACACACACACACGCACACACACGCACGTATGCACGCACACACACACACACAAACACACACACACACACACACACGCACGTATACACACACACACACGCACACACACACACGTATTGTGTTTATTCAGTAACATTTTTACACTGGTCTGAAATCCCAAGAAGTGTAGATAGTTTAATCACCAAATTAATAACCATTGTCCAAGGGTCACATGTTTGGTCATTTATTCGATGTACCGGGCGTTTCTTGTACAAGCGACGGCCCAGACCTCCGCCGATAGTTTCAACAGCCGTTCGGAAATAACTCCATGTAAACGAAGAATAATTATTTTTACAAGACAAGAAAATAAACATCGCTGACACATCCCTTCATTGCATCTTCACGTTTTTGGACGTGTGCATTAAGCGTGCGGTTGTATTCATGATTCAGTGCACTACAGTACAGAAACTATACCACTGACGGCGACGACGCTTTAATGTGAAAACTTCTGCTTCATTTGTCATTAATACCACGAATGACTATTAAACAGACATCGTTCATGAAATAAAATTACCAAGGACATTATGTTCGAATGGCGGACAAGTGGCCTCGTTTCGTGGTTCTGTTTACACTTTCAAGTTGTGAGACAAGATGAAGTACATAACAATAAATACAAGCGACAACACATTTTCCATAATCATACGAAATCTCTGACAAAGGCAGAGTCCATTGCACGATTTCCGAATACATCATAAACATGTGTTTATGTATTACTATAAAATAAGGATGATACCATACCAGGTGTTCGCGAAAAGGTGAGAGTGTCCTGCTCCACCGGTGGTACTCGTCACAAACACTTGCAGAGGCAAGTCAATTGTTCACCTGAAAAAAACACGGAACATGTGGTCAAAATAGGGAATTGCATTGGTCACATAGAAGGAGTTAAATGAGTAAAAAGTGACGATTTTTCTAGCTTAAAGAGAAAATATAACTACGAGCAAGTCAGTGGCCTCTGGTGAACTGGTTACCATATGCTTGTGAGGTCTCTTTCATGATCAAGTATTTCCAAAACCTCTAAAAGCAAAATTTCCGACACATTTTAGCTTTGTAAATACATCTCGTGTTGTAAGTCGAACATATGTTGAAATGAAGAGCCTAGTAGTCATTCATTAAAAAACACATCTGATAAAACGCATAACGATTTCTAAAAGTGCTTCAGATCTTGTCGAACAAAGGAGCCATTTTCACACCTTGTCCTTTACTGACAAAAATCCCATGTTGTTGTTTACGACATCACCGTGCAACATCACGAGTGAGAGAGTGCGTTGGGGTTTTATGCCGCTTTGAGCTATATTCCAGCAGGGACGCCAGAAATGGGCTTCACACATTTTACCCATGTGGGGAATCGAACCCAAACCTTCGACCTGACGAACGGACGCTTTAACCACTAGGCTACCCACCGCCTACATGAGGACGATGATAATGAATGTTTGTTTATTTGTTGTTTAACGCCGCACTAAGCATATTCCAGCTATATGATGGCGGTCTGTAAAAACTCGGTAAAAACAAACCATAATCGGCGAATCCGGAATTCGGATCCTGGAACGGACAGGGGACGCAATTCGGCACGGCGAATAGCGTCACCGAATATGACATGTATCCCTGTAACGTGATTCAAGAAATCAGCAGTTGGACGTAGCAGTGTTCAGTTCTGTTTTTACCTGAACTTGATAGGTCTGGACAGATAGATGTATGGAAGTGATTGTCTATTTACAACATAATTGGCCATTACCAAACAAGAAAAAGCCATCAATATCTGAATATAGCCCATTGAAGAAACTGAATCTATATTTCAATTGTTCATTGGGAGAACATCCGAAGTTAATTAGATCCTATAGTAGTTTTTAATATTCTACTCAAAGAAGTTAAAGAACATCCGATTCTTTCATAGTACTAAAGTTAATCTGTCATGCTAATTTGTTTAAATCCAAGATTTATGTTTTGCATTTAAGTGACTATACATCGCGCGTATGTAACCCCGGAGGTCTTCCCTCAAGCAGACCACTGCTGTTTGTCTGTCTTACAGACCCTGATACAAATATATCAACTACAGCCCATGCAAGTCTATAATGTTTGGCAAGTCTAGATTACTGCAGTATCAGGAAAATGAAGAGAATCACTGGGCTCCCTTTTTATTATATTTTTATTAAGATAACTGAGCAACTGTTTTTTCTGTACGATATGTTCATTTCAGAGACTATATGTTAGTCTACACTGCTGTCTGCAGGAGAGAAGTCACCATGCAGTGTAACTCGTAGCCTTGCTCCAAGGCTGTACTGAAACAAAAGTCCATGGATGAGTAGTAATTCTATCCTCCTAATAGGCAAGTCTTGATATGTTGACAGTACAGTCTAAGGACTCCAGTCTCTTAAAGGGACAACTTGTTCTTATTATTTACATAAATTATTAACTTATGATTTAAACTAATAATTATTGCCTTAGAGACTTCTGCAAGTCTATATAACTCGTATAGGCCATTGTGGGAACGGACTTCCGGTATATTGCGTTGTGTAATATATAGCGGATAACGAGGTGTAAATAACACCTTTTTGCAATGTCTTAACCAATTTGACGAAGTGTCTGACAACCACCATGGTGAGCGTATGCATAGTGACACGGGATGGAGAGTATGTGTGTTCGAACTCAGAACTTACATCACTGGCAAACCAACCCCAGATGGCGCAGCGTCAAGCCCGCCAGGAACCCAGCCGCCATACATGGCGATTCCCGAGCCAATAACAGGGTGCATGGTAGTAACGCTGTTCCAGTACTAAGAAGCTTGTTACTTTGAACGTTTATTAAACTGGATAAGCCTTAAAGGATATATTATTTATTGAGAAGTTAATAGTTAAAACACAATCATCTATTTGTGTTCCTATGAAAGACTAGTTACAAATACACGCTAACCGGAAGTACATGGGAGTTTTCTTTTCAGTTTCTGTTTTGGCAGAAAATCTAGGATGTTTATTCTCTTGCACTGACAATTTATATTGACTTTAGTACAGCATGATTAACGCTGTTGACTGGTATTTCAAATAAATTATTTTGTAGAACAAAGTTTCTTTTTGGTATTTCGGAAAATCTCCATTCTGTATTTTTGTGATATTGTATATACTTGCAAGAAGGCGCATGAAACTCATAACCACCAAATTAATAGCCGAGACGGCAAACTATATCTGAAATAAGTGATATCAGTAATATTATACATACCATCGGGTTATGAGATGCTAACACATGCCAAGAGCAAATATTGACTTTTACAGTACTTAAAATCGGGTAATGTTGCTACATCGGGGAAATTAACTAGATTAATATAACCTACCAACATCGACCTCATAGAACAAAAAGTACTCTAGAAAAATGTACAAACGAACCAAGAGACCACAAATAATACATAAGAACCATCTGACTGTTTTATTTTCATTTGTATTCAGATTTCAATCTTACTAATACTACTGGACGTATGTACTACCCTAGACTAGCACAAGTCTCTAAGGCAATACTTATTATTTGACATTATTAGTTCTAGATTATGTAAATAATAAGAACAGGTTGTCCCAATAACAGACTGGAGTCCTTAGGGTGTTCTGTCCACATATCTAGACTTGCCCACGAGGAGGATAGAATTACTAGGCATCCATTGTGATGTTGTGATCCTGTGTGGTTAAGATGCACCAACTAAACTCGACGAACCCTACACAACCAATAGACTCTCTCCCACCTCTCGCAGACTCCCCTGCCGCACGTTGACTGTATACAACGTGACCGAGACTTGCCGCGACATCCACTACATATGGCCGATATGCACTTTACGTACTGTAAACATTAACTGCTTTTACCGAGAATACGACCAACGCGGACCTTCAGTTCCTGTTCATTAGGTCAACCTTTGATGGATGGTCGTTTAGAATCACGGATGAACTGAGCGCTTTGTGGAGTTTTTGTCCTACAATACAGAAATAGCCCCTGTTTTGACTGCTTTATAATAAAAACGACAAAACCCTTTTAATATTCGTAAGAAATCCCTGCGAAAAGCAAAGTCGATTGTACAATTTCGACTATATCATGAGCATGTGTTGATGAATCACTATCAAATAGTGATGACACCAGGTGTTCGCGAATAACTGGAATAACATACTTTGGTGTTCTTCGTCTTTATAGTCGTGTTTAAGCACGAAGGTTTTTTTTCACAATGGGTGAAAAAGAAAACACTATCTGTTATGGGGAAAAAGTAAATTGTTACAGTAAATACTTAAAAACTACACCCCCCCCCCCCCCCCCCCCCCCCACCCCCGTCCCCACACACACACACGCGTGCATGCATGAAAGTCGCTATATGAGTGCAATAATCTTGAACAGGACGTTGAACCCCATTTTACCTCACCTCACCTCACCTTGATCCAGTACAGGGACACTTAAAGGGACAATATGCACCATACTCCGGTGCCCATGTTCTGCCTCGGTTAAGACGTTGTCCTTAATATCATATGTGAAATAAAGGTTATCATTGAATGCTAAGTTGGCATATATAATAAAATTTGAAATAAAGGACCAAGAAACTGTGACGCTGGGACGTTAGGGACGTGAATAAAATTTGCTAGAGCTGCCAATGAACCAAGTAACTCTAAGGAATTGCTAACCGAGTGCTAGGGGTGGTACGGGACATCCTTACCCTTTTCACGAACACCTGGTGTCATTGATTCTTGGTGATCCATTCAATAAATTTTCATTTCTATTTTGCATTTTTACGCTTAATAGAATTTGTTTCGGCAGATAATCGAGACCGATTCTCTGGCGTTTACAGTTTACATTTAAGAAGATTTTTCAGAATTGTTATGAAAGTTAACGGAAATATTCATACGGCAGACACATGGATTCATTTATGCTTACTCTTTTCGCGAACACCCGATGTCATCACTGATTTTCTGTGATCCATTCATATACCTTTTACAACTATTTTGTCCTTTACGCCCAAATGAATCTGATTCTTCGGATAATGGAAACTGCTTATTCTCTGGCGTTGACTTTTTATATTTACAAGTGTATGTACATGTGTAAGTTGTTTTTTTAAAAACCCACAACATCCTAATGAAAACAATATTGCCTCGAAGTTAGAATTTCATAAGCAGGTGCTTGACCCAATAGAACATTTCCCCGCTGTTCTAATCAACATTTAAGTGAGTGAAGAGTGAGTTGGGTCTAACGCAGCTTTGAACCCTACTTCAGTTGTCTCACGGTGTGTCAGCATTATCAAGGAGAAGAGCCCAAAGTGTTGCCATCCTTTGTGTGAAAGCACCTGTTCCCGAAAAAGCTGGAAATAAACAACTTGTCCTCAGGTTGTCGTAAAACAAATAACTCGATTCCTGGACATTCTGCATGTTTTGCAGTGTTGAAAAAAAAACTGTCTTGAAACAAATCTCCACCCTCCAAATATTGGTGCCGAGTGGTTAAAGCGTTCACTCGTCACGCCAAAGACCCGGGTTCGATTCCCCACATGGGTACAATGTGTAAAGCCCATTTCTGGTGTCCCCCCCTGCCGTGATATTGCTGGAATATTGCTAAAAGCGGCGTAAAACCATACTCGCTCACTCCTCCCATTAATAAATGCTCCTTCCCAGAGAAGACCAGAACATGGTAAGTAATACTACCCACAACTTAGTAAGTAAATGCTGCATTCTCCAAACACATGTAAAATAAACGATGCCATTAGTGTAATCACAAGAACATCGCATGTAAAGCGTTCACGATGGAACGCTATTAAAACTGGGAAGGTCTTATGCTGTTAAATTGGATCTGTCCGATGCCTCGTGACCAGGGGATAA